TTCCTCCAGGGTTCTGGTCTGGAACCAAGTTTCACAGCATCCTATCAGGAAGCATCTCCAGGAGCAGATGGTCTGGATGTAGGATGGACATCAGGACCTGCTTTATAAACTATGATGGTGTGTCAGGGCCATTCAAAGGCAGGAAAAAAAATGGAATTTAAACCTAAAGTGACAAACTAAAGAGAATAAGCACTAAAATTTACCGAATAAAAATACACAAATATAAGAGAAAAAGTAACAAATGTTCAAGATTGAAACCTGAAGATTCAAATGCAGATAAGCCTGGCGTACACTGTGCGATTTTACTTAAAGCTCATGCTAATGCATCATTATTGGGGCCCTTAGCCATGGAATGAAACGTTCAATGGCCTCATGGAAGATTTTAAATTCAAGATGAATGATACAATAAATCAGCATCTTTATTATCTGGTAAATTTGTAAAGTTATTTTCTCGTAAATTTGCCTGTTTATTCTTATAAATATGCTACTTTAAACTAAAAAATTAAATTACAAAACCGATGATAAATAAACATTCAACTAAATATATAAAAGAAAAGTGTGAATCAGAGCTTAAAAGGGCAGTTTCAGATGAAGATGGTTGGATGTGTGGAAAACATTCACCAGTTCATGGATATGGAGGGAATTCACATGGAAAAATCTAATATGATTTTCATCATGCCTAAATTTAAGAATAGATATAAGGACACAAACATGGGGTGTTGGCGTAATTGTGGATCAATAAGCGCCAATCATTCTCACGTATTTTGGAAATTTCCTAAAATTGTTTTTTTCCCTAAAATTTTGGAAAAATGTGTATTAAACTGAAGAAGATTCTAAGATTATGTGTGGTACTATATATCTTAGCAACTTCAATAACACCAAAGTAAGGGTACCAGACAGATATCTGATTAACATTATGTTAATAGCTATTAAGAAAGATATTAGGAGGAAAGAGGGAAAGGCTGACCCCTCCCCCCGTGACAAACAATGGACTGGATCTGGTGCTGACATATGAGACAGAATGTGAAGAAATAACAGTATTTCCTCACAACCCTGTCCTCTCTGACCACTTTCTAATAACCTTCAGGATTACTTTAACAGAGTTCTCCTCCCCCAAAAGAAGGTTCAATTTTAGTAGATCTTTATCAGATAGTGCAGTTATAAATTTTAAAGAATCTGCTTCACCTTCTCTCTCCTCTGTGTCGCTGAGCAGTGCTGCAGAGTGCAAAAGCTTAGCTTATTCCCCTTCACAGGTTAATGATTTTGTTGATGGGGTTGCTAGTTCTCTGCGTACTGCCTTAGACAACACAGCTCCTTTGAAAATGAAAACCGTTAAAAATAGAAAGCTTGCTCCTTGGTTTAATGCAGAGCTGCGCACTTTGAAGCAAAATGCTAGGAAACTGGAGAGAAAATATCGCTCCACAGGCCTGCGGGAGTCCTTCCAAGTCTGGAAAAATAGTCTACTGCTGTATAAGAGGACCCTTTGTAAAGCAAGAGCAGCATACGTCTCTTCATTAATAGAGGAGAATAAGAATAATCCTAGATTTCTTTTTAATACAGTTGCCAAACTCACCCAGAGCCATAGCTCTGTTGAACCGTCCATTCCACCTGCTCTTAGCAGCAATGATTTTATGGGATTCTTTATAAATAAGATTGATCTTATTAAAAATAAGATCATAAGCACTCCTCTATCCGCGATTGTATCTGAGGTAGTCATGGAATCTGAACCGGGTTTAGACTGCTTTGATCCAGTTGAACTTTCAAAGTTAGCAAAATTATTGTCTTCATCTAAGCCTTCAACTTGGATGTTAGATCCAGTTCCAACCAGGTTATTTAAGGAGGTGTTCCCTTTGATCTCCTCCTCCATTTTAGATGTGATTAATCTATCTCTGTTACAGGGATATGTACCTAAAGCTTTTCAGGTTGCTGTAATTAAACCTCTGCTTAAGAAACCGTCTCTTGACCCAGATGACTTGGTCAATTATAGACCTATATCCAATCTTCCTTTCTTATCCAAAATTCTTGAGAAAGTAGTTGCCAAACAAGTTTGCGATCACTTCCACCATAATGAACTTTTTGAAGAGTTTCAGTCTGGCTTTAGAGCTCATCATAGCACTGAAACAGCTCTGGTGAAAGTCACTAATGATATTCTCATGGTCTCAGATAATGGACTTGTATCTGTGCTCGTCCTGTTGGATCTTAGTGCTGCATTTGATACAGTTGACCATAATATTCTTTTAGAAAGACTTGAATATTTTGTTGGAATTAAAGGAACAGCACTACACTGGTTTAAATCTTATCTATCTGATCGAATTCAGTTTGTTCATGTTAATGACAAATCTTTCTCATGCTCAAAGGTTACCTGTGGAGTACCACAGGGATCAGTGCTAGGACCAAATCTCCTTACTTTATACATGCTCCCAATCGGTAGAATTATTAGACAGCATGGGATTAATTTCCACTGTTATGCTGATGATACCCAGCTATATCTGTCTATAATCCAGATGAAGCTAACCCATTACATAGATTACAGGCATGTCTTGAAGACATAAAAACCTGGATGACTCTTAACTTTCTCCTTCTGAATGCAGACAAAACAGAAGTTATAGTCTTTGGACCAGAGTCTCTGAAAAAGAAACTGATTAGCCAGTCACTTCATTTGGATGGGATTAAACTGATTTCAGATAATAAAGTAAAAAAATCTTGGTGTTATTTTTGATCAGGACCTGTCATTTAAATCCCATATCAAAGAGGTTTCTAGAATTTCCTTCTTTCATCTGAGGAATATTGCAAAAATGAGAAATCTCCTGTCCAGGGGTGATGCTGAGAAACTAGTCCATGCATTTGTTACTTCAAGGCTGGACTATTGTAATTCTTTACTATCAGAAAGTCCACAAACTGTAGTTAAAAGCCTTCAGCTGATCCATTTTGGATCAGCTGAAGGCTGAGAGAGAGAGATCATATGGGACAAAGGTGAAATAATGGGCGTATGTTTGCATAGGGACCATAGGGACATGTCCCTACCAATATTTTGGATTGACCTACTTGTCTCTACCAATAATTCGATGTGAACAACATGTTTATAAGTTAAATACAGCGTTGCTGCATAAGGAGCTATTTAAACAGTCAGTCAGTAGCAATATAGGATGATGATAAAAAGGTGTTGTTACATTTAATCCTTTACTATTATAAACGCACTTGTATAATAGAAACATTATATGATTGTAGGAAACAGATATAATGCTGCAGGGCAGCCTCAGGGTGAAGCAGCTGCCCTTCAGTGCTGCATGATGGAAGAAATGTGTTTGGAAAGTTACCATAAAATTAGGGCTGAAACTAATGATTATTCTGCAAATTGATTAATGTGTTGATTTTTTCGATGAATCGATTAATAATCAGATCAGCCAAAGGTTCCTTAAAGAATATTTTTTACGAAATGAAACCAGGTGAAACAGAAACGTTTCCTCTTCAGGAGTTCTGGATGGAGAATATTAAAAGATAAAAACTTTTTTTATTTTAAATGCAAAATGTTTACATATTTTTTACAATCTTGGTATAATTCCTGCTCTAAGTGGGTCGCTCTGTCGGCCAAAGGCACATTTTAGTGGCTCTATACTCCAGTTAATGATTAATCAATTACTAAATTAGTTGATGATAATTTGAATAATTTTCTAGAATTTCCTTCTTTCATCTGAGAAATCTCCTGTCCAGGGGTGATGCTGAGAAACTAGTCCATGCATTTGTTACTTCAAGGCTGGACTATTGTAATTCTTTACTATCAGGAAGTATCGATTAATATGATTAATTGTTTCAGCCATAGATAAAATACATGAAATGGGCGACACAGTAACTACGTACAGACCAGATGTACAACTTGTATAGTGAAGTTAATATTTTAAATGCTCAGTGTCAGTTCCTCTTATAGTTCCAGTGCTCATGTAAATACAAATATTTACCTTCACCTTGAATGTATTATTTTGCATGATACAGAGAGAACATATTACATAAAGAATAAGAGTTATACTTCTGGTTACCTCTGCACAATTCTATATCTTCAATAGAAAACACAAGATAAATCCACATATAGCAGACATATTTAGACTATATTTGGTTAAATATTTACCTTCTGTCTTAGTCACTGCTAAGTTAAAATGCAAACCTTTGGAAAAATGTCCTAATTCCACATTGATCAGAGCCAGTGATGCTTTAAATATTGATAAACAGCATCTAGTGAGTGTAGAGCTGATAAGATTTACTATATTAATGCAGCAGAAATGCTGCTGCTCTCTATAAACAAAATGTGTCCTGATGCTCACATTAGACATAAAATTGAGCATGCATGTTTTTGCAAAGGACCAATGAAACTGAAGACCAACAGTGTCCCTACCAAAGCTGGAATCAAACCTACACCCTTGGGTGAAACAGAGAAATGGCTCCAAAGGTTTTATGTGAAGTTTTCATGTACATTGTGCTTGTAAACAACTTTGGAAAATACTAATGAACATTTAAATGTTTAAAATATAAATTATTTTTGAATGGCCTGATAAACCATCTTAATAAGCAGTTTATTTTTAAAAATCTTATTTCTACTGAGAAGGATTAATGATTGCTTGAACCGCGCAGCACTGCCACCTGCTGGACATTTTAAAACACTGCCTGGTATTAACATCAGGGCCATCCTGAGCAGAAGGTAGTTTGATTTCTTTCTTATGCTGAAGGTCTGTAGTTGAAATCCTGCTGAAGGACATTGTGAAGTGGTCTCTAAGATCTGTAGAGCTCAATGACGTCATACATGTAATGTTTCCATGCAGCTGAATAAATAGAAACCACAGAGGGAGAAGCGCTGCTGCAGAGGCTTTGATGCAGCTGCTGCAGGTTCGACCTATGCTCCAGGTCTTCTCCTTCCTTCTAACCCCATATCCTGTCCTCCATTAGAACCTAAAAAAATAACCTTTGTAAAACAATGGGCATAGACAGATATAAAACTGACTCAGAAAACTCTTTGATTAATGGGAAAGCCTTTAATTCGTGATGAAATGCCACACGTTACAGCCGTGGTGAGCAGGAGACAGGACTCCCTCAGGTGGACACCTCCAGCTCTCTGGAGAAGAGGGACAGAGGCAGGAAGCCTCTGCTTCTGGCTCTTTTCACCGCCTTTCTGAACACATAGTTGTTGTAGCGTTTCCCAAAGCGGAGGCCAAACGGGTTGTAGTTGAATTTACTGCGGCGGTCATTACACAGGAGCTGTCGCTGCTCCTCGTCCTCCCTCAGAGAGAGACACAGGTTGGGATCTTCTGTCAGGAGGTCTCTGGCACTTCTTCCTCTGAGGGCCGAGAGACGAGAGCCTGAAGGAAAGCAGAGGGTCAAGAGTCAGGATGACATTTCCCTCACAGGGGGACTGTGTTCAGTCAACCTTCCAGTGAAGAGATGACTGAAATGAGCAGGAGGGATCAGAGCCACATTTTATTCCCCCTAATTCTTAGTTCCACCTAAAATATATTACAGTGGTGGCCAATAGAGGGCGCTAGGTGCTGCCCCACCCACCCAATGACCTTGATTAAGACAAAAATAAACAAACATTATTAAATTATTATTTCTAAAGGGCTGGTTATCCTCCCGCAGCCGTGCGTCGCAGTTAGCGCATTGCAGGTATGTCGCAGATATTTCTAATTTATGCCTAATTTCGAAGCGTGGTCTGCGTTATGTTACTCCACGCCACAACACCAGAGGGACAATCAGGAACTAGCTAGGATTGTGGGCGTCTGTGTGTTGGTTGGATGAGCTTGTTTGCCGTCTACAACCCCGCATCCAACGGCGGACGACACACAGTTCACCCGTGAGTGTTCTCCAAAGACTGGCTGTGGCGCTGCGTGTTTCGGCTTTGGTTGCAAACCAGCAACTAGCATCCTAGTTGTCTAGCGTCCTGTACAGTCTCTGGGACATTGTCTGAGGTGTGCCAGGCGCTGTGGACGGCGCTACAGCCAGTTTCTGCAATTAGGGACCAAACAGGAAATACACATAGTGTAGAGCGGATGGAGAACTGACCAATCAGAGCCCCCCTTTCAACGCTATCTATGGCACTGTCTGCGGCCACCTACAATTTTTGGGGAGTGTCTGCGGAATGGGGGGGAATATCTGCGTTAGGGTTAGGCTTAGACGACCTGGTTTCTGAGCACAAACCAGCCTTTAGATGTGCAAGATAAATATTTAACCTTTAATGAGGAGTAAATCTGTTTCATTGTCATTATATTGGTGATGTATTTCCATAAATCTTCCCCTGTAGACTCTGGTTAAAGTTTTCCATGAGCAGCAGCTCCTCTTCAATGCTAAAGATAGGAGCATCCTGGGGAGCAGCTCTCCTGCTCCCAGAGCTGAAAGCAGCTTTATTTGCTGACCACCTCCCTCCACAGCGCTGATGTCACAGTCGCCTGTTAGAAAGTGCGTCTGATTGACAGGTTTATTTAGCTCCAAGGCTAGGCTAACTCCATGCAGCGAGGCTAAAGCTTTATCCTGCTTTCCTGCCTACTTTTTCAAATGTCAGAATCTGAGCCAGCGTGGTAAAGACAGCTAGGACTGATTTAAATCACTTTACAGAACATTTTATAATGTTGTTTGTTGTTGTTGGCATTGATATAAATATACTGGTGCAATAACTTAGTATACATTTGATTGGTTCTTTGTATACATCTGTTTTGCAGTTATAGCGCCCCCTGGAGGAAACTCCACCAGCCACAACTGATGTATTAATCTCAGTGCTCTCCACCACCAGATGGAAAACTTCTCATCCAGTTGCCTAAACTTAACTTTTCAAGATTGACCTGGATGACTGAGAATCTTCCCAGAAATGAACTTTGCTGGTAGAAACAAGACTGAGCTGAAAGTCATGCTGCAGGAGAAGAAGAAGCTGTTGTGACTGGTTGGTGGCAGCCATCGGAACGCTTAAGGTCTGGTTATCCTTCTGCAGCAGTGCGTCGCGGTGAGCTTGATGCAGACATTTTTGATTTATGCTGAAGTTTGAAGCGTGTTCTGCGCCACACCACAACGCCAGAGAGCCAATCAAGATCTAGCTGTGGGTCTAGATACGGCCGAGGCGGTGAGGAAGTGGGGGCAAGTTAGAGCAACAATGGAGGGACATGAGGGCCAAAAAGAGCGGGGATCCTGGTGGAAAAAGAGTCAAAGCGTTCTTGCGCACCTCGCTCTGCTAGCCGGTCCATCTTCACCAGCTGTTTTCTGCAATTGTGGTCATACAAACAAAAGAAGCCAGCAAGCAGATGTAGAATTGACCAATCAGAGGCCTCCTGTCTGCGGTCACCTATGATTTGGGAGAGGTTCAAAGTATTCAGCCTTCATGATATTAAGCGTGTCTCAGCCCCCCCTTCAGTGTCCACCATATTGGATCAGTCCATTTGCTGCACATGTTCAGAAAGGTCCAAACAGACAGCAGCAAACCATTTGAAAACAAACCATGCAAAGAGCAGTGTTGCTAACTTAGCGCTTTAGTCGCTATATTTAGCCACTTTTCAGACCCCTCTAGAACTTTGATTTCTAAAAAGCTCCTAGCGCCAAATCTAGAGACTTTTTTCTGCTACTGGAGACTTTGGAGACAACATCTAAAAGCAGCGAACTCTGCTCTCCAGAGCGAGTAGATTGGTAACCCCGCCTCCTGCTCTCCTCTATCTTGTCTGCTGTCATGATTCATGCAGCTATTATTTCATCCAAATGAAAAATGGAGAACAGAGAAGCAGATCATGGCTTGTCTACAGTGAAAAGAAGGACTGGGTTATTTACTTTGGCCTTTTTGGAAACACAGGAAGGAGCAATCAGCTAAGTGAGCTTAGTGCTTGGAAAAAATCTTTCATTCCTTTAGAGACAGCATGAAAAGTCAGCTGAGTACAAAACATAGAGAGGAAAACAAGAAGAAAAGGGACAAGAAGAGAGGGACACAACCTAGAACAGATAATGGATGTCTATTCTATTAACATTTCTACATCTGTAGAATAGGTCTGTTTTACGTGTTGTCTTCTCAGTTCAGAGGGCCCCCTGCCTGTCTTTGCCTAGGGCCCCACATTTCCTAAATCCACCCCTGGTCATAGTCTTATTTAGTCCAGGATTACTTGTTGTAAATTGGGCTGTTTGGTCGCTCTGATTTTGTCCCACTTTAGTCCAATAAGAAATGTTGAGAATGTGGTTTCCTTTACCTTTGTTATCATCAGTAATCAGAGTTCACTTTTATTTCTCATTGAGCTGCATTATTTTAAAGCTTTAGATGTGAAACCAAAGAAAAGGCTGAAGTTCATCTGCTGCTGTTTAGCATTTCTTTACAGGCTTTTCTGTTTTTGGTTTTTCTTTCATGCTTCTATGGAGACCTTCTCAGGCTCAGTCAGGTTTGGCAGCAGTATCAGTAGAAAGAGCATTCTAGATCTTTGCAGAAATATTTTTTAAAATCAAGATGCAGGTTCTCCCTGGACCACTGAGGGAAACCCTAACGCCTAAATCCCTCCATTGCCATGCAGAGCGGGGACTATATAGTGAACTCAGTTAACTGACCGTTGGTCACATGACTCTGGTCACTATGGTCACACTACTCTGGGATGTATCTGCTCGTCTAGTGACCATGGATGATCACTACTTTTCAAGGTGCATTATGGGATATTTCGAGTCCAGTACTTTTCCGTCACTAGACATTCAGATGCTAATTTAAAATGGCGTCACCACTATCGAGGGATTAATGTGGACATTCAGACGCTCCTAGACTGTGCGTCAGGTGAAGCTGTGGCCTGATGGTGGAGATTTTCAGACCAGGGGTCCAGGTGGTTCTCTAATGCTGCCACCACCGTGCCCCCCAGTAGGGATGGTAACAGTGAGAGGTTAGCTCCATCAAACCATTGGCCTTATGTTTTTTTTCTGGTCTAAAGATGTTTTTCAGCTCGTCTTCAGTAAAAACCTGATGTTGGAGCATGATAGCAACAAGCCTTTTATGATGAGTCAGTTTGGTTCCAAGGACGAAGCTGCTCACCACTCCCAGACAGATACAGAAGGTGATTTAGCCCTTGATCCAGGTTACTTATCAGCATTAGAGCAAAGGGTTTGAATATTTGCTGCTCCACTGTGAGTTCTTATATCCCTCACTGGTGGTGTGTTAACTTTTCCTTTGGCATGTAGAGGCATCTTTAGTCGTCTCCCTAAGGATGTCACTGGCCCTTTAATAGCCCAGTTGTTTGGCTCTTCGTATAAATGGAAATAAGACATGGATTTCAATTAGGATGAGAATGATCAGTTTTTATTTTCATCTGAACAAAAACTATTCACCCCTTCAAATCTATGGAAAACGTCTGGTGGTATCCCAGCAATCAGAGCACCTATTTCTGCATGTTCCTGCCTACTCTTGATGTTTGTGGACAGCTGGGTGGTTCCGTCTCTTTAGAAAAACAAACTCTTTTTACGCTGGAGAGTCATGACATGTCCAGGTCAATCTGATCCGCCTTTAGTTAGCTGATCTTAAACACTACATCTCAGTATCAACTCATTCTGCAATTCTCTTTAAAAGAAAAATTACTTATAAAGACACATTTTAGTCACTGAAAAAATCTAAATTAGGTCATTTTTTCCTCAATTGAGGAGGAAAGTGAGACACTTTGCCAATAGCACAAGACAATTTACATTTAAATAAAAAAAAATACAACTGCAGCAAGTGCATATTATTTAATTATCTTATTTAAGTAGTAAAAATAATAATTTCATTGGCAGATCATCTTATTTACCCGCTCAAATAAAGGCTAATTACACTTAATTTGAGACATTTTTACTTATTTCTCCATTTTTTCCAGTGAAAACATAAAAAAATAACAAAGAATGTCTGCACTGTAAAACATAACTTGCTTTGGTTCAGAAACAAAGCAAAGGAAAGCAGGGAATCGGTCCCCTGAGCTCAACTTCTGCTACATTTAGAGGAAATTAAGAAATAATTTACATCACAGCACCTCCTGTTTGGAGCTACAGATGTTCAAATCAACCTCCCTGTCAGGGAGCCCACCTGTGGCATGAGTGTTCTGGGCAGAATCGAGTCCAAAGAGAGCTGCTCCCACGTCTCCAAGGAAAAGGATGCACACCACAAGGGCCGCCAGTCGGATCTTCCCACACGCCATCCTCTGTCTGTGAGTCCAAACTCAGATTTGATGCTGATGTCTATCAGCCTGCTTTTTGGGGTCTCCACCAGGTGACCCTTTGTTCCTTTAGCTCACAGCCAATCACAGCACACCTATCTGCTGCTTTTGCAACAACTCAAATGCATCATTCATCAGCTCTTCTTGGAATTGTTGACAGCTCACTCTACCATCGCTGGATAAAAAAAATGAAATCTACTTTCAACATGACCGTTTGAAAATGGGACAGAAGTGTCTGCGATGGGAGTCAGGAAATAAACCCACCGACTGCAGCCGCTGGGACCTCAGAAATGTAACCCCGTGCATCTGTTTTAGCATAGTGAGTTATATAGTGAGCATAGTGAAAATACCCAACCTGAGCAACATTCATAACATCAGAAGTTCTGGCAATCTGCTGGGATAAAGCATAGAGCTGAGTGTTAACATTAAGCCACCCAGACCTGGCAGTAACACTGCCACAGGATTTACACCAAGCCTGGAAAACGTGCAGAGCCTTGTGATGTGTTTCAATTCTATTCAGTGTATTTCTATAGCACCAATTCACATCATGTCACCTCAGGTCACTTTCCAGTTCACCAGATCATCCAGTAGGATTGATTCAAAGTTTTCTATCTAAGGAAAACCAGCTGATTGCATCGACTCATTGATTCTTCAGCAATCCCTCACACTAAGCATGCTTGTAGCGACAGTGGAGAGGAAAAACTCCCTTTGAACAGGAAGAAACCTCCAGCAGAACCAGGCTCAGTGTGAGCGGCCATCTGCTGAGGCCAAAGATGTTAAGTAGAAAATATACCTGGAATTTCAGGGATACATGGAAAACACCACGTGGGAAAATAAAAACCTGATGCTGCAGCATGCTTCTGTAATTTCATTGGAATGAGTTCCATGACTGAATTGTAGATGCTTGGAAGTTAAATCTGATATAACTTATGCTACGTCCACACCTAAGGTGCTCTAAGCAGCAGAAGCAGCTGGTTTTCATGCAAAGTCAATGGTTGACGCGCATCTAGGAGCATCAAGGAGCTCAACCAATGAGAGAAGCTGATCTGGGAGCTGGCAGGGAGTCAGACACAGCTATGCTGATGCAGAGCACTATGATCACTCCTCTGAAACAGTTTAACAACTAAATTAACTTAAAATGTAGAAACCTGCCGGCAGAATATGTTGGCTTTTATTATCCTGCTGCCTGCAGTTTGTAGCACAGACCTGAAAAACGCTAACATCTACTTCCAGCCGCCACCAACAGTAGGGGAAAACCCCCAAGAGGCGAGCGGGCCTGAGGCAGCTGCTGCTGGGGATTCCCAGTGACAGCGCAGCGCCGCTATGTGGGGGTCTGAGGCTACGTTCACACTGCAGCCTGAAGTGACCCAATTCCGATTTTTTTGCCCATATGTGACCTGTATCTGATCTTTTTATGACAGTCTGAACGACACAGATCGGATTTTTTCAAATGCGACCCAGGCCACTTGGATATGTGGTCCTGAATCCGATACGTATCTGATCTTTTCAAATGCGACCTGTGTCTGTACGGCCAGGTCGCATTCATCCGACCTACACGTCATTGATACTTGACAAATGTTACAAATGTTACTAATCTGCGTCCTACTAAGCGGAGGCGGGAAAAACTAACAACCATGGCGGAAGATAACACAGAGAACAGTCAATGGAGAGAAAGTGAGGTTGCTGACTTAATTCATATTTGGAAAGATAGCTCGATTCAGACAAAACTCGAAGGGTCTTACCGGAACCGGGGGAGGGTCTTTCTTTTTGATCTTCTTAAAAAGATTTCGTTCGTAATGTGCCTGCTCCTGTTGGAGAAGAACTTAAAGAACGCAATATACGCTGCGGTATTACGAGTCATGTTTACTTCCGCAAACACTGAGGACGCTTGCTACATGTGACGTCATCGCGTCCTCGAGTGCGCATGCGGGACACTTCGGTTGAACGCTTTCAGTTCACACAGTAGATCACATACAAGTCGCATATACTTGGAAGTGTGAACGGACACGCAAAAAATCCGATTTCACAAAAAAATCGGAATTGAGCATTAAGGCCTGCAGTGTGAACGTAGCCTGAGTGGCTCCCACAGAGAAATAATCTTTGAAGGCAGGATGGTAATCTGGATGAACTGACTGCACAGACCATGTTTTCAGGAGGACTTTCTCACTTCAACATAGATTCTAACTACTTTTTACCCGCTGATCACAGCTAATATAGCTGCCATTGTTCCAGGCAGAGAAAGGATAGGGTAGCTCCGCCCACCGCGCATCAGACCCACTTTACCACAGCACAGTTTGAGCAGCAAAGATGCTTCAGCCACACGTCAGAACTAAACTGGTACAAGCATCACAAATGAATCAGCACGCGCGTTTCTGCTGCTTCTGCTGCTTGCGGTCTGAACGCAGCATAAAGGTTAACTACAGACAGTTCAAACAACTTTGTTATCAAATATGTGAAGTACATGTATAAATACAGTGACAAACTATAATGTTTTTATGAATTAAAGCCTAAATAGATCCCCAGAGGTTGGAGCAGCGGGCATGTCCTGATGCAGGGCTTCCTAATGCCTCTCCATTGGTGTTCCTATTAAATCCCATCTCTCTCGGAATGCCAGGAATACTTCCCCTCACATGCGCACCAAAGTTTGCTACTTTTTGAGCAGACATACTTTGTTCCCCTCTTGTATGACTCTAAGAGCTATGCAGTAGTGAACTTCTCCATTGTGAAATTAAGAAAATCTTATGTATATAATTTCTATATGGCAAAGCTTACTGGAAGTGATGAGGTTAATCACTCAAACTAATGGGAGAGTCTAACAATTAACAACTTACTCTAAACAATTCCAAATAGAAGAAATTATTACAAATTTTGGTTCTAAATTAACTTAAATATATTTTACATACCAAAAGACAAAAGCTAGATTGGTGGAAATATCAAATTAGAAAAATGTAGCATAAATGGCCACAACACAGTGTAATGACAATAAAAGCCAGAAGAAAAAGTACTCCCAATGCTTTCTCTTCCTTGCTTCCTCCATCTTTGAGCTCTTGCAAACACACTGAGTACTGAGCCAGCGACAGGATATGAGGGGGACTCCACTGTGTTTGTCTGAGCCTTTTATGTTTCAAATGCACGCAGTCCAAACCAGCGACCCACTTCCTGAATCAGCCACGAGGTGCGAAGCATCAGGACGGTTCAAACGTCAGCGTGACGTCACCGAACCACACTCTGAGCCATGCTCCACTTGCTTTGAAGCTTCAGCTCATTTAGCCCATCACTAACCGGTGCTGCTGTCATCCAATATTATAGAGCTAAACATGACAGTGTGTCACTGCGCCTCTGACCTTTTTGACCTTTTGGCGTATTTCAGGCTTCAAACATGAAGATATCATTTTTTGTGAAGAATCAACCAGTGAGACCCAGCTTTACATCCCAATGTCAGCAGGTGACTATGAACCAATTGGAGCGTTAGTTAGATGCTTAGAAAAGTCTCAATCTGTGGATGAACCACCATTTTCTACAACTGGATAAAAACCAACCTGAGGTAATAATGAAAAAGGAGCAGAGATCCAGAGTTAGCTCCCAGCTTCAGCTAGAAAGCACTGATTATGGCTGAAATCATGATGGACTCAGACCTAAACCTTCAGAGGCTCAGAAAGAAAGTTACTGAGTCAGACTTTGATCACCTGAAGAACATCTCCAGGATTAAATGACTGATGACCTGCAGGATCTAGAACAACTCTTTCAAGCATTTATCTAT